GATACAAAGCCAAAACTAAAAACAAAATGGTCCCCATGCTTGAGGAGATGACTTTCTAATGGGGAAGTTTACACTCTAGTATGTTCACGTGTAGTTTTAACCCTATCATTTTGATGAGGCCCAGAGAAATGTAATTTACCCAGAAACCCACTCACTCTGAAGTGAATTCAGAGCTAGAACTCAAACCTATCTTCTGAACCCCCAATCCAGGGATATTTCCACTTTATCAGGTTTTCTTTTTATTTAAGTTGTGATTGACTTTAATTTAAAAATTAGCATGTCATATATTAAATGTAGTTATCATGAAATCAGACAAACAATAATAAACTACCCAGCCCCTATAAAGTTTGGGCACTCAGAAAACTTCAGTATTCATCTGTAATAGAAAATAAATGTCCACGATCCAGGGCCAACCCCAGGGAAGACTGTCAGGTCAGGGAAGTTTATCTTCATAAGTGTCTTGTATTTCCAAAGACATCTTCCTTTCCCCTCCAGCATGTGGTTTATTTTCCTCCTGCTCTACTAGCTGTCTCTTTGTGCTCTTCTCAGGCCAAGCTGGACGGCTTTCCTCCCTCCCTCATCTAAACAGATCTTTCTCATGCCCCTTCCTTCTGGGCCCTACTATCTGTGAGAAACCTTATAAATCAACCATGATCATTGATATGCCACCCCTTTAAGGTTGGATACTATCAGCTATTTTTTGAAGCTAATAATGGGAATTTGGGGGACCCTCAAAAAGTCAGTGGGAAGGATGTTTTGAGACAGTTCAGCCTTTTGGTACCTTTCAAATTACTGCCGTTTCCTTATTAATAGGGCCAGTTGCATATCACTTATTTGTTAAGCATTATATTTAAAGTTTTCTGCAAACCTTAATGTGCTATATAGATAGATGGATGTATGTATGAAAAATCTTTATTAAGTACTTACTGTGTAGCAAACTATGGGCATACAGATACAAAATAATACCATTCTTGATTTCAAAGAGGTCAAATTTTAATTTGGAAAGACAACACATATGGTGTAGTCCAGCTGCAGGGTGGACAAGAAGGCCCAGTGGTCTTTAGAGTGATGACTGTATAAAAGTGAGGTGTTTTTAATATTATTAGATGACAGGTAAAGTTAGCTGGGACATTTGAGGTTCTTGCTCAGCTTATAGTTACCCAACTGTATACATGTTGTAGAGCATAATATTGAGGCCCTGGTATCAAAATCAGCGAGGAGGAAGCTTTCACTTTTTCTTCTGGGTTGGGTTATATCAAAGATATTTTTCATATGGTAGTTGGAGTAGCCTGGGCTTTCTTAATTTTTTTCTAGAGCCCCAAGGGTCAGTGCTGAGTTCTACCTTGATCTGATTTCCTATTGAAATTGGGCCAAGGTACAGCTCAACACCTCAGCTCCTGTTGATTTCACCAATGCAGAGAAACCTGACCACTGGTAACCCTATCTATTAGTATCATAGGATCACAAATTTAGAGCTGGAAGGGATGTTAAAGGTCATTTAATTATTTTACAGATAAGGTAAACTAAGCCTGGAGTGGTAAAATTTGCCCACAGTAATATAGGCAGATAGTGGCAGAACCCAGTCAGCTAGGAGTTTCAATGAATAGAGAACTGCATTTGGAGACAAAAAGACCTGAGTTCAAATGGGGCCTCTGATGTTTACCAGCTCCGTGACCCTGGGCAAGTCACTTAAACTGAGATATCAGCCTTGGTTCCCAGGATGATCATACCAGCCCCTACCTCACAAATGGTTGTGAGGATTGAGTGAGATAATAAAGCATTTGACAGACCTTAAAGCACTATGCAAATGCCAGCAGTGATGACGAGGGTGATGATGAAGAGCAGGATTCAAACCCAGTACCTCCGACCCTAAATCCCACATTCTTTCCCTTGCACCTGGCCAGCCTGCCAAGAAAAAAGTACATTGTTCCTGATCCTCTCTTATGTCTCCATTAGTATAACTGATCCACTAGGTTTAAAATCAAAGGACCTGAGTTCAAATCAGACCTTTGCTGCTTCAGTATTGAGATGACTTTAGGCACGTCTCTGCTGTCTCCCTGGGCCTTGGTTTCCTAACCTTGAAAATGAGGGCATTGGATCAGGTGATCTCCCAAGGTTCCTTTCTACCTCTAAACTCTTTAGAATTAAATGGGCTACCTTCTCACCCCCACACAAGCCTTTGAGCATAACTTTTGTTATTTTTCATCGTTAAGCAGATCAGAAATCTTTTTTATAAATTGAAGTATCTTAGTTATATCTTCAAACTCAGTTGGGTGTCAGCACCATTATTTCAATATGTACAACATTTTAACAGTTTTCCATAGTTATAGCCATGAACTGAAAAAGCTCCTGGGTCCTGTTCCTATTATGCAGCCTCTCACCACTGGGTTGAGGTGGGATCTGAGGAGAAAACGGTCATAGCATGGAGATTTAGTGTTCTTAAAAATATCTGAATGTCCTCTCTTCTTTCAAGGGGATGATGGGTGCCGATCATTGCATGTACTGTCCCATAGTCACTATTGCTTGCTTTTAATGAACTCTTTTTTCTTTGCTGTGAGGGAGGTCTTATGGAGTGAGTGTTGGGGTATATCTGAAAGTGCTTATGGTATAAAAAACAAAAGGCATCTATAAAACTTAGCACCTTAAAAAAATTGTTGGGGAGAGTGGTTATCCAGCTCCTTCCAATGCCAAAAGAAATGACTAGTAATGGGTAACTAGGTAAAAGAAAGTGAAACTTGGCTGCATCCTTCCGTGGAGCTAGAAGAGTTAAACCTTATCTTTTGTTTCCCAGAGGCAGCACCTACAAATTATCTGATCTACTTAAGAAACAGGCATCAAATTGAACATTTTTGTGATTGCATCTCAAACCTATCAGTTGGTGAAAAGGGAACTTGGATCTCAAGGTCTAAGTAAAATATTGAAAGTGAGATTACTAAGAATGGTATTTGTTTAAGGGTCAGGAACATGAAAGTCGAATAGACCCAAGAAATGGAGTGAAAATTGAAAGTAATTGATAAAGACTATGCAGAATTTAAGACTTCAGGAAAGGGAGAAAATAGCTGTAAGTACCAAGATGAAGGAAACCATAGATGACAAAGTCAGAGAGTTTTTCAAGGCACCTAAAGGGAATATTAATTAAGAGTCAGCGAATCCATTTAGGCTAAATAAGATAAAAGTCCAAAACCATCTCTCTCGTTTGTTTATTTATTTATTGTTTTGCTTTGGAGTGTGAAGATATTTGGAGGGGCATAATTTTGGTACTTTTGAAATCTCTTGTGACAGGAGTTGAAATACTGCCTTTTAAAGTTGCTTCAGGAAAATCCTCCAAATAAAACAAAACAAGTTGTTGGGTTTTTGTTTTTATTTTTCACAACAAAGAAAATTAGATGATTGTTAAATCATTTCTGAGTCACCATCCATTTTTGTAGAAGGAGAGAGGAGAAATCAATGTGGATATAAGTGGTCATGGACCAAGGGCTAGCCTTGGAGGCAGAAAGACTTAGGTTCAAGACCTACTTCTAACACATATTGACACTATCATTGTGGACAAGCCACTTAACCTCTAAGATGTTAAATTCCAGATGAGTTTCCAGTCTGGAGTTTCCTTCACTGATGAATATGTGTGTGTAGGTGTCCATATGTATGTGTGTGTGTATATATGGTATTATATATGTATATGCGCATATATATGACATGACCATCAAGTAATGCAATCTTTAATAAAAATCACTAGAAATTGTATATCCAAACGAGTTGTTCTTGAATGTAATCACTTGGGTGACAGTAAAATTACATCAGGAAGTTAAGTTGTTCAGAATATTGTTAGAATTCTTCAGAATCAGTTTACAAGTTACACAAGAAAATCAGTCTCAATAATCTGTAAATATACCTGGTCTGGGGACAAAAACAATATTATCCAGCTTTATCATCAATTTGTCCTTTTAAAGATCTAGCTCTGAATAACTTTTTCCTGTTTGCAAAAGTCAGATTCACCCACAAAAAGTAAAGAAGAAACAATAAGGCAGTGGAAAGAGCACTGGATTTGGCATCAAAGAAACTGGGTTCAAATCCTGGTTCTTCTGCTAACTATCTGTGTGATCTTGGGCAAGTCCCTTCACATCTCTGGACCTCTTTTTCCTCATAAAGAAGATTCTTTATAAGAATATCATATAATGAGGGAGATGGACTGTTGACCTATGGATCCTTTTTCATAATAATGTGTGTTGCCTACATTCATAATTGGTGCAAATGCCAAATTTCAGTTAGTGGTTAATGAAAATAAAGATGTTTTTTACCCATCCAAGTTACAGATCCCCAGATAGCTATCCATGGACCCCTAAGTGGTATATGTACCCCAGCTTAGGTATCCCTGGATGAGATGATATTAATGCTGCCTTCTAGCTCTAGAGTCTATGGTTTGCTACCATTGAAGATGTTCAAAACAATGTGCCCAGGTCAACTCTGGGAGCAGATCCACATGAGGAAAATCCAGAGCGTTTGCGGCAAAGGTGTTATCATGGTTTGTCAAGGGGATGGGACCAATTTAGATTTATAAGTTCTGACTGATTAAATTCTGAGTAATAAATTAATTCCATTACTTTGCAGTTGAGAGGAAGCATAGTGTAGTGGAGAGAGTGTTGGACTTGGAATTAGGAATCCTACCTCTGAAACTTATTGGCTCTGTGACTGTAAGCAAGAAACTTAAGACTCTCTGAGTTTTTTTGTATACTTATTTTTTTTTAAAGTTTTATGTAGATAGCCCTCAATGTTGGTGTAAGGAATGTCCGCACTGACAAAATCAGATTGAGGCACCTATTTATATAATGGTATGACTAATGAGGAAATACTTAAATCAACAAGACTCAAAATGCTTGTCATTGGGACCTAGTCAGTTTTTGAGGGGGAGAGGAGTGCATTTCTTCTGACAACTTTATAAGTTAAACACCCTTTGAGTCATCTATTATTAGTCCATTTGCTAAAAACGTTCTGCCCTTTTGCAGAATCCTAGGTAACCGAGTGGCAGAGCTGGAGAAAAAATTGAGAACTTTGGAAGTCTCGGGTTTGTGGAGTCTCCCAGGTGAGTAAAAACTTCATGAAAATTATTGACTGCAGTAGTTTTCTTAAGTGACCATCATGGCATTTGCATAAGAAGTCTTAACCTTTTTAGTATTCTTTTATTAAAAGAATATCATTGCTGAGACATACAAAAGCATTTGGATGTGTAAATCACAGGTCTAGGACAGGAAAATGTCATGTGGTAAACACAAGGAGCATTCACAGTGTTGCCAGAGGAAATACAGAATAGATAATGGCTACTTGCAGTATTATAAACTTAAACTGTATCACTTAGAGGGCCTGGCTGTATTTCTACTTTCAGTAAATACTATGGTTTGTATTGCTTGAATGTGCTCAGTTCAATCATTAGTCCTAAAAAGTACTGAAAGACCCACCAATCGACACCCCCATCGCCCTATGACCCTTGCCAAAAATTCCAACCTGTTTCTTTTCTGTTCTTCAGAGGTACAAAGCTTGGGTTTCCTGTGGAGGTTTTTCACAGTTGAATACTCGGAGGAAACTCCTTCTGCTTTTCACTTTAATTAGCTATATTTATCCTGTTCATCTGAGAAAAGTACCCCCTTCATGAGACCACCGCCAACTAGTTCCCGTCACATTTAGCCCTCTTAAGCAACTTATATTTATCATTCTGCCTCTTCTTTTCCCTGCTATCAAAGTCATGCATATTTTTAGTTACTTAACCTTTCTGCACCAACCAATCTCTCCTACCCCTTAATCATATCTGTTGTTTTCCTCTAATGCATGATGACTCCATTCATGTCCTCCTGAGAGTTGCACAGGATGGGAAGGCATGGATAGGCTATTTACCTTGTTGGTGAGAGTGCCCACATTGATGAGACCTTAGATCCATCAAAGTAACTGAAAAAACGGTCAGTTTCCTTAACCGATAAGTAACAGATAATAATAATAAGTTTTCTTACTCTGACTGCAAATAGTTTCATCAGATTGCCTGGGGATAGGGAGGGGGAGCAGTGATACATAATTGGAAATTTCCAATAAAAACTTCTCAAGCTTTGTGTCAAAATATATAGCATAGCTCATTCAAAGTGAGGGCTCCCTTGAGAGGTAAATAGTCCACTTCTAAGAACCTTTTGCAGAAGTGAAAGCAATATTGTTTGTGGTGGTTTTTTAAAAAAATTCCATTGTTTTAATCCAGCCATGCAAGCTTATCATTCGTCCAGAGGAAAAAAAATTAAATGATCCTCACTCTTTATGTTTTGGTGTTGTGATGTTTTTTTTTTCCAACGTACATTCCCAATGTTTTGCAACATATATAAAAAGATTGAAGTTGAAGAAATGAATGCTGAGTTTTTTTACCTTTTCCAGCACTTTTCTATTTGAGTAAGACAACAAATTAATATTCGAAAATAACAATTGTCTCTTTCCTTCTTTCTGCTGCCTGAAGGCCTGAGCTACAATGTTTCAGTGGGATTCAGGAGTAGGTTCTATTTGAAATGTCTTTTTATAGCTAATTTTTAGCAATAAGTAATATCATTGCATGTAAATAAATAGAAATGTGTTATCTGGACAGTCTTGTGTCCATCAGATTAAGATATTCATTTGAACTAAAGGGTCTCAAGGGAATTGGACTCTCTTTGACTCTCTTTACATAGCAAATATACAGTAGTAAAACTGGACATGAGGCACTTGGCCATGTTTGTCCTTAATGCCAGCCCTAATGAAAGCAATGGGAGAGAAGAAGGGGAATAAGGGGGTAAATTCTCTTCAAATTTTCAAAATTATGTAGCATTGCCTTCCCTTATGCAATGGTAAAAAGAGAAATGTCAAGGTATAATAGTTCTCCAACCACTGGGAAAGGAGGAAGAAATGTTCCTCCTGTCCTCATGTAGGTCAGTCTGTTCTGTTGAATGATATTTCCATTTGTCTCCATTTTAACCAAATGAATTTCAATGCAAGGATTTTTGGTTTTTCAAGTGAGAGGCAAGTTAGAATATTTCAGCCACTGATCTCCCCCCTCCCAGGGGTTTTCAGAGACTTGTACATTGCTTCTGATGCTGAAATCAGTGCCTGCTACAAACCAATCATACGGTAGTATCTACCACATATCTACCTTGTGGACATCATGTGACACAGTAGCTGAAAGAAAGTTAATTTGATTTGACCATATCAATAGAAGCATAGTCTTGTGGGCAAGACCCTGCTCTGGATAGACAATATTCATTCAGTTCTGTACACCATATTAAAGAAAAAATGTTGACACATGTGAAATGTTGAGAGAATGATAGAAAATATATATTAAGTGCTAAATTGTGTAGTAATTAGGAGTTCAGAGAAGGGAGACATTAGTGTAAACTGTAATAGTTGGGAAAGTTTCATGGTGGAAATAGGGACTTGAATTGGGCTTGGGTGGAATTTGACTGTGCAAAGATCAAAAGCTAAAACAAACTAATCATTATATTGAGGCAATGTGGTACAATGGAAAGAGCCCTTGACTAGGAGTTGGGGTAAATTGATTCAATCCATATTATAATCCATATTTGGTCACTGGTTAGCTGAGTAATCTTGAGCAAGTCCCTTGACATCTCCAAGCCTCAGTTTTCTCATCTATAAAATGGGGGAGTAGACCTAGATGAATTCTAAGGAACCTTCTAGTAGATTGAAGTCCATTATCCTAGCATCCTACATTTCTAGGCCCTGCTGACCACTACCTAGCCAGGACATTTCACTTCATCTCTTTGATTTCAAATAAGGGGGTCAGATGAATGGGAAAATACATGATGTCTCGAGTCTCTTCCAGCTCTAAAACTATGAATCTCTTCTGAGATTATGAATGAAAATTATTAAATATCCTTTCCTCCACCCTCCCCTTCCTTCCCCATTGTAGAGTTAAATCTGATCATAGAATTTGGACAGCAAATCTTTGGGGAGAAAAAGTTCCCTCTCCTCTCCTCAGCAAATGATTTAGCTCTTGTTCTTTTCTGCCCAAAATAAATGGGGTTGATTTTCTCCATCTTGGATACAAAGAAGGCTGGCTTTAAACAAGTTTGACAAAATAGCAGACCCCATATAGAAAAAGAATCTAGGTATTCTGAATTTTTTTTTGTCTTTAGAGAAGAGGTAGCATAGTATAATAAAAGGAGAATGGGATGGTAGATAAAGAGCTGGTTTTGGGGCCAAGGAGACATGGATTCAAATATTATCTCTGATAATCTACTTGCTATGTATCCCTGGGCAAGACCCCTAACCTCTCAGTGCCTTAGGGAGCTCTTAAGGGTCTAAATGGTAGAAAATACACCAACCTGCATCGGTAGAGGGACTTTCCTCATCTGTAGTTCCCTATGACAGTAAAATCCCAGGTCTAGGCCATATCCTTGTCTTTGGAAAGCCTATCCTTTCCCCCTCATCCCTTTCAAGAGCTAGTTTGTAATTTGCCGAAGGAACAATAGAGTAGACCTTTCAGGTCTCCATTAGATGTAACTCTTGAAAGACTGAGAACTCCCTTGGTTTCTTCCCTTGGTCCTTCTAAAGTCTTGTGTTACAGGGGATAGCACTTTAGGATCTGCAATAGCAAGTTTGCTGAGTATGTTCTTGCCATAAAAATCCACTGGAGGCCAAAGAGAAAGTATTCTCTGTTACATAGGTAACAGAGCTTGTTTGAGGGCTTCTTGAAAGGCTAGTTTTGTCACCCCATTGCTTCATTGGAAGCATCAACCTGGGGACAAAGAATATTGGGATTTGGGGATTTTTATTTTCATTTCCTTAAAAACCTGAACAGAAGAGCACAGGGAGCTCTTGCCACAGCGCAGCAGGCATGGGACCACATTATCAAGCCTCTGCTCTCTGAACACAATGCCAACATGTGCCAAGAAATGGAGAAGCCAATCAGTTAAAAGATCATTCATCTGGCTGGATGGTTGGACGGATTTATTTTTTAATTTAAAAAAATTGAATGTAACTAATAATTAATGTAGTGAATTTAAATTCCCACTTTTAAAACCTCTTTCTCCTCTTAAAGTAGATAAACTATTAGAATGTGTATTGGGTGAGAGCCCATATGCAGAAAACATCAATGCAGAGAGTAAGCCTGAGCTAAAAAAGATGTAATTCCTGCTCATCTTTCTAGATCCAGTTGAATGATGACTACTCTGTTCAGCTTTTGTTGACTATCTCCTGACATTCCTGTTCCCCCCAGGAACTGCTGTCTCCCTCCTTTGAATGGCTACAGCATGTACAGTTTTCTGGTTGAGCATTTTGCCAGTATTAAAGTTTTTTGTGTAGGAACTGTATCTCCTCCATCCCTGCCCCTCCTGCTCCCCCATTAGAAAGTAAATTCTCTCCCTGGGAAAAAAGCAAACAAACAAACAAACAGAAGAACAGTTTTGTTCCCTGTTGTATTCCTCTTAGGGACTTAGCATGGTGCCATGCTTAAGTGAATGTTCCCTAAATATTTGTTAATAGTTTTGAAAGAAGGCCACTGGCAATGGAATTTCAAAGGGATCTGACCTGGTGATTATCCTGCTAAGGAAAATGTAAAACTTACTGCAAAGAGCTTGAGAATTCACAATTTGAGAAAAAGAGAATGTCAGAGGATATTTGGTCCAACCCATGTTTGTCTACGAATCCCTTCTAGGACTTCCCTGACAAGTGATTATTTAGTCTTCCATTGAACTATTTTAGCAAAAACGGACATGCAAACTGGATGCTTCCCATGCAAGTTTGGTTCACCCCTAAGTGTCAGGAAGGTGGCAAAAGCTGGCTGCCTGCAATGCATGACAATTGACCCTAGTTCTGCCCTCAAGGGCCAAGCCTTGCCTCCCCCCCAAAAAAAGCCTATCCCCTTCCACATTACAGCTCTTCAAATGATTGAAAACAGGCACCTTGTGCCTTTTAAGCATTCTTTTCCCCAAACTGAACATTCCAAATTCTTTCAACTGTTCTCTTATGATCTAGTCTCCAAACTTCTCCTCATCTGGTTTCCTTCTTTTCACCTGTTATCGTTTGTCATTATGACATCCAGGATTGAAAAAATATCTTAGAGGTGTTCAGAATGGGGAAGAATAAAGCAGACTTATATCCCTTGTTCTAGGTACTATACTTATATTATTTTCGCATGCAAGCATATATCTCTTTTCCTATTATAGTAAGTTAGTTTCACTATCACTGAACAACTTTTTTTTTTAAACTAAGGATAGGACTTTCTACTCTGAATTACTACTACTAACTTCTACTACCTAGTACTACTACTACTACTGATAAGAATAGTTATTTATATAGCACTTTAAGGATTGTAAAGCACTTTGTACCTATTATCTTATTTAATCTTCACAACAGTGCTATATATTAATAACTTTGTTTTTACAGACTATGGAGCCAAGGCTCAGAGAAACCAACTCATGGTCTTTGTTGTTGCCCAGTCAATTCAGTTGTGTTCTACTCTCCAGGACCTAATTTTCTTGGCAAAGATACTGGAGTAGTTTACCATTTCCTTCTCTAGTAGATTAAGATAAACCAAGGTTAAGTGACTTGCCATGGGTCACAAAGCTACTAAGTATCTGAGGCCAAATTTGAATTCAGGTCGTTCTGACTCCAGGCCCAGCTGTTTGTCCACTGAGTCACCTAGCCACCTGCTAACTCATGGTCATACAGCTGTCAAATCTCAGAATTAAGATTGAATCCTACCTCTCTTCTGATGCTACATCTTATTTGATTCTGACCTTCTTTCTAGCCTGAGACCTTTGTTAGACTCTTAACCCTTTTCTCCGGGCTATAAACTGTCCCTCCCAACTTTGTATCATCTGCAAATTAGGTAAGCATTCGGTATGTTTTCAAGTCATTGATGAAAGTCATTTTATGTGGTGCTATAACTATTAAATGGTACGGGGCAAAAGACAGATCCACAGGGCACTCATTTAAAACCTTTCCAACGCGTCATTGATCCATTAGCTGCTATTCTTTAGAGCTGTTCATTCAATTAGTTGTGGACACTCCTGACTCTACTGTTATCTAGCCCATATCTCTGCATTATGAGTCATTCACAAGAAGGGCTTTGGAGTCTGTCAAATGTCTTGCTGAAATAGAGGCAAATTTATCCACAGCTTCCTCCTTATTTACAATGCTAGTAACCCTGTCAAAAAAGGAAATGAGGTTCATAAGATCATAGATTGAGGGTTGAAAGGGACCTTAGAGGTCCTAGAGTACAACTCATTAATTTTACAGGTGAAGACACCAAGTCCTAGAAAGATTAGGTGGCTCTACCAAAGTCACACCAGGTAGTAACCTAGTTCCTCAGACTCCAAAGCCAGGGTTCTTTCCATTCTCTGTGCCACCAGGATGTTCTTAATAAACCTCTTCTGGCTTTTAGCAATTACTACTTACTAGCTTTCTAAATCTTACAAACCATTCCTTTAATAATACATTCTGGAATCTTCCCAGGAATCAAAGCCAAGCTTACTGGCCTATAGTCTGAAGATTCTAACC